CGCCCGCCCCCGCTGCCCCCCCCCCCTGCCCCCCGCTGGGGGGGCGCTCGTGCCAGCCGTTGGGCAGCGCGCTTACCGGGCCGCGGTGGGCGCTGACGTCACCCCCCCAGGGGCTCCACGTGCGCTCGCGGCAGCCGTTAGGCGGTTACACGGGCGGCGGTTGGTAGGTGGCGTCACAACCCCCGCCCCGCTCCTCCCCTGTGGGGCCGTGACCTCCCTGCCAGCTGTGGGCTGGGGGTGCCCCCCTGGCATGGGGAGCTTGCCCCCCCCCTCACACCTTGTGAGCTGGGGACTCTGCCCTGGTGGGGAGTGCCAGAGGTGTGACTCCAGACCAGGGTGCACCCAACTCCAACGATTAAAAAAAAAAATTAAAATTCTGATTTTTTTTATCAGATTTTTTTTTTTTTGTAACTTTTTTGTTAACGTGCTTTAAAAAAAAAAGCATATATAAAGATAGGTTTAATTTAACATATGTTAAAGCTTGAAGATATCATCATGGGATAGGGTTGCCAACCCTCCCGGGCTGCCAAGTATGTTCCCAGCCATCTATCTCCCGGTGACTATTAAAAGCAACCTGGGAGATTGATATTGTCAATGGGTCAAGCGGTACAACTAATGACTACGTTTTGTTGGGGGTAAAAAAATCTCCTGGAATAGCTTCAGTCAGAGTTGGCAACCCTGTCATGGAATTGGGATGATAACTTCTAATTGTCTGCTGGTTGAGACCATGTATTTAGGTAACCTTTTTAGAAAAGTTTTACAAATAGTCCCTGGCCTATTGTAACCTATGTCAGGGGCTCAATCTTATGGGGTTCCCAGAGGCTCCTGTATGGATGAGCAAAGATTAAAGAAGCCCTACACTTCTGTGAGTCTGCGTAAAACCGCTCTACCTAATAGGACTTAATGGGTGCTCAGTCTAGAGGATCCCATGAAGCATCTCTGTGATGCTTAGTTTCAGTTCTCAGGCTGTAGATCAGTCTCTCCAGAGAGAATATCCTTGTTTACAGCGGTATATGGAGATGAGAGAACAGACCTGACTACCACCTGTCAGCCCTCTTGTCTCTCTGCAAGTTTGTGTACACAGTCAGGCCTTTACTTCTCTCTAAAAGTGCAAAGTTTCAAGAAGTTAAATGAATAAAGGATATTGAACAAGAAGAATGCACTTTTTGTAGAAAACAGTGATTAAATTGAGGCTTTCTGACTGGTGATTTAAATCATGATTTCAACCACTTAAATCAATTTGATTCAAATCAAATCCACCCTGCTCCAGACTGGCAAAGTGAGGGTGGCAGGAGCTGCTGGGGTGGGCATGGCTATCATTAGGGATCCTGGTTTTCTCTGATTAAAAAAACTCCCAATGTTCAGATGATAAAAAGTAACTCAAAATTGACATTGGATCCTGGTACAAAAAGGTTGAGAACCACTGGAGTAGAGGACCTCTGGAGATCCTTTCCAGCCCGGCTTCCCTGTGCCTGTGTGGCAGCTTGGTGGAGAGTTGTCCTGTAGGGGAAGATGCTTCTTGGTGTTAGCTGATTCCTCAGGGGGATGGAAGTGGCTGCGATCTTTAAAGCAAGTAGCAAGTTGGAAAAACTTGCAAAAAGAAGTTGTCTTTCACCCTGCCTGTAATACAAGGATGGGACTCATCATCCCCAGATGTGATGGAAGCTGGCAGCGTAGCCAGATCGGACAGCCAGCAGCAAAGCTAGAAGGGGATTGGAGAAATCCTTGGAGGAAAGGGTAGCTATTGAGCATGGGAGTGAGGGATACAGCTTCTGAATCATAACTTCCCAGACCTTAACTGCTGGAGGCTGCATGTGACAGAGAAACAGATTTGGGCGGGGCAGAAAACCCTGGTCATACCCAGTTCACTTCTCTTTCAGCATCTACTCTCTGCTACTGTGCGACATAGACCTGTTTGATGTGCAGTGGGGACATGGGCCAATGCCTACCAGGTGAAGTTGAAAGCCCCCTTTAATCTTGGGGTCACAGGGTGCACATCAAGCGATTACAAGGCACCACTAAAGAAAGTGGGGATGGGAGTGAGGTGTGTGTGTGACAGAATGCTGGCCAAGATGGACTTGTGATCTGACCTAGTAAATGGCAGTTCTTATGTTCTTCAACTGTTAAGAAGAAATTGAGATAACAAGGTATAGAGTGGAAACTTGAGTCTGACTCTCTTGTTGTTTTTTACACATGTACCCCTTTTGCTGCAGATTTTACTTGGTGTTTGTGATATTGTTGTCCTACTGATGCTCCGTTCTTCCCTAGCCTTTCTGCTTGCTCAGGAAGAAGGCAATTCAGAGGTTTTCTTGTTAACCCCACATATACAAACAAGTAAACAAATGAAAACCATAGGTCACCTTCCCTTGTAGAGGGGGAGAAAAGGTGCAAACCCATTGCTGTGTGCACTTCACAGTTTTAAACTTGGCTAGATGTCTCAGTGTGTCACCTCAAGGTTTCAGAGGGATTAGGCCAAGCTATGAGGTTAAGTCTATGAAAAGCTTGTTCGGGCAGTCAATGTGTGCAAAGATAAAATGCTGATCTGTTTTTAGGGGAGACTTGTAAGTACAGCTTGAGTAGTACAGTAAAAGGAAAGGGGCAAACTTCACTGCTCCTGGCAGTTTCCACACAACAGCAATAAATTGAACTTAAAGTAAGCCAGGTTCACTTTGAGCTGTAGGTGAAAGGTAGTGCAGCTACCCAAACATTCATTTAAAATTATAGCAGTTGAACTAGTCAACTGAATCTTGCTAACAGTGATGATGAGCCTAATACAATTGTAGCTACAGATAATTCTCAAAGCAAGGGCAGGAGGGAAGTAAAATCTGTCACGGTTCTTCAGGAAGTGAATGTATTGACACACTTGGTGCAATGTCATAAGCACCAGCCTTGAAAACTAACTGTTAAACATTCTGAAATCACTAATAGGCATAATCTGTGTGAAAGAGAAGCACACATCTTGTCTGTTGACAGCTATTTAAGGGCTTCCTCTTTTCACAGGTCGTGCTTGCTTATGCTTCTGGGTTCAGTGCACTAAACCCCTTTATTTCTAAAAAATGAATTTAAATATTTTGTTTAAAGTGCTATAACTAAATTACTTCAATATGTATTATCCTTTCCTCTTCTCTTCCAGTTGGCTGCTAAATGTATTCAGTGCTAGTGTCAAGTCTCAGTTGGGAAATGGTAGCAAACTACTGCTCTAAAAGTTCAGTTTAAAACATAGGGAACACTGGGCCTAGTGTACAGTCATCTATAAAGTGGAGCTTACAAGTTGTTGAAGGGGCACTATCTTAAAATACAGACAACTTCTTTAAAAACAGCTTTAAGTGCTGCCTCCTAGGTCTCCTGTTACATCCTTCTGCTTAGTATTGTCCTCCCTCATTGCTGTGTGGAAAGACTGTGCAAACATAAGAACTCTGTAAAGCCCATTTACTATTACAAGCACAAAGTTAATATGAAAACTGAAACATCTAGGTTTCTCTGCCTATTAACAGAAGCCCCCCAAACCAACTTCATAAATAGCTTTGCTAGCTCTCTTTTGCTGTTAGTTTCTGCTAACTCTTTACAGCTTGTTAACATAACCTTTTGGACAGGGAGGGTTCATGTGTATTGGGTCCTGGTGATCCAGCTTTTACAGTATGTCTAATCAGAAGATTTGGCAATTACCTTTAAAGGAAATTCTGTAGGAAAGTTTGCAGATCTAACAATGCAGATGGAAAATACTTGCACGTGAGTAACTGAATCTTTATGCTTATAGGCTCTCACTTTGTAGTATAGATTAACCTGTCAGCTAAGAGTGTAAAAGGCCTTTGTCACATGGGACACTTAATACTGTACAGAGTTAACACATGCTGAAGCTGGAATGTGTTCTGAACATTTGCACAGGAATATTTACTGTGATCTCTGATGTGCCTCAGTGGAGTATTGAATTGACTCTCTAGTGTGGAGCTGGACCTGGGGCTGGGGCCAACAGTCAGCTGTTTTTTGGTCCCACCTGGGAAACTGATACCCCTTCAGTGAGGAGAAAAATTGGTATTGGGTCCCAGGTGGGCTGCGGTGCTATGATCTTACTGGGGAAAGCTCAAAGGGAAGTGGGGAGCTGTGAGAATTGGCCCCTCTGGGGACTGCAAATTCCCATGTTACCTCTATGGAGTGGTCTCACTGTAGCTGAACATGTGTTACTTAACACAATCTGGAGATTCTCTCTCTGCAAAAAGTCATAACTGCTATAATACCCATGTACCTAGCATGTATTCTACTGCTTGAACTTGTGGACAATACTGTTCTAAGTGTGGCTAACACTAGAGGTGCACTGATATCAGTTGCATATTGGATTGGCACAGATAAAAGGGGAATTTACGTTATTGGCTATCGACTTATTTTGGCCATTGTAGCCAACAATGCTTAAAGATAATGATGCCTTCTGGCCAGGGCCCTGGACACCTCGGTTCCCTCACTTCTGTGGCCCCCTGATGCCACAGACCACAGGCTTCCCTTGGGGAAACAGCAGGTTTCCCCTTGCATGTGGGCAGCATTCTAGCCTGCAAGGGGTCCTGCTTGGGACTGCTGGGAGCAAGATACAGGGGGTGCAGTGTGCATGTGCCCGGCCCCATGCACGCACATGGCTAGGAATACAGCCAGGCAGCATGGAGAGCTGCTCCCTGCAGATAAGTCTATGGAGGGGAAGAGGTGTGGGCAGGGTTGGGGGGAAGAGCATGGGGGAGGGAGGGAGTGGGGCAGGGGCCACTGCCCAGCCAGGGTGGTGCATGGGACACAGGGCTGGGGCGGAGAACAGGATGGAGACATGGGCAGCTCATCTGGAGGGCATGGGGAGGGGGCGGCTTCCTGGCACTGGGGAGGCATGGAGGGGAGAGCCCAGAGCTCACAGCGAATGAGCTTTAGTTGAAGTGCAGCTGCCATCATTTTTATGTGAGGCAGAGCTAAGCAGAGCTAAGTGGGGCAATGTTGGTTGCGGGTTGCTTGCTGTGGGCTTGGGGCCTTCCACTCTGCCTTTGCCCTGGAAGCCCTTTACTGGCTGTGCGCCCCCTGCCCACCCTGGAGTGGGGGACACAACTTGCCCCCTCCTCCTTTGCTGCTGAGTGGGCCAGGGGTGTGTGGCTGGTGCAGGGCTCTTGGGGGTAGAGGCAGCAGAGCTGAGTGCCCTGAGCCCACAGCAAGCAGCCCGCATCCACCCAGTACACAAATCAGCGGATGGAGGGCACATGCATGCCCCATGCCTCCCCCAGGGGGTGTGCGCAGTGGTGGGGAGCCACCCCTCTTCCCCATGCTCCTTGGGTGAGCTGCCTGTGGCACCGTCCTGCTCTCTACCCTGTCGATTTAACCGGAGTAAATTGGTTACGAGATCAGCATTGGCCGATATAGTTGATTAATCATCAGCTATCATTATCAGCCACGGAAATCTTTATTGGTGAACCCTAGCTAACGCATCCCATGTGTAATGCGTGAAATGGCCTATAAGGTCATCTTTTCTAGCTGACCTAGCTATGTTGGTGCTGAAAGTTGAGGCCTGGTATTAGATGAGCTTCCTTCATTTAGGAGGATGGTAGAGCTCTGCTAAAGAGAAAATCTTTTGTTTTACCTCCAAGGGGCTCTGCTGCTATAGCTATCCTTGTATATCTGTGGCAATAGCAAACCTGGAATATAGAGAACCATGGAACTTGCTTTCCTGCGAATTGGGGCTTTGTCTATGGTAGGAGTTTCTGTTCCTGCATATGTATTGGTCTGGAGTACCATAGGTATTATTCTTGACCAGCAAAGCTGTGATGGCAGAAGCTGCTGGTGTAGGCAGAGTTGTAATAAAAAATAACTCTCCAAATCGGTATAACCTGGTTTGGGGTGAGGGGCAGTTTTATTTTTGGCTTTGCTGGTATAGCTGACTCGACACTAGAACTTAGTCTCTCAACTCTTAGGCCACATTTGCAGCTTTCACGTCTTAGAAAGTCCTTGGCATATTTAATTATTCTGCAAGTCAAGCATAAAAACTCAACTTGGGCCATCTTTGCATCCTAGAGTACTGTAGGTGGAGAATCTAGCTACAGTGGTTGAAACAGGACAAATTGGTGGCTCCTTTTCGCCGAACATTAAAGGTGGTTTCACTTGGAATAATGACCCCAGATCTTTAAAATAAGAAGCAGCATCTTCCAACCTTTTAATGTAGATCTGGGCTAATTTTGGGGATAAGATCATTAGGTACATTTTAAAATCAGGGTTCCTGTTTTTTGTTGTTTTTTTTGTCATGTGCCCCACCTCTGCATTCTTTTCCTTTTCTTCCTTCTCCGTTCTGCTGCCCCAGTGGTGCTGACTGTAACAATGACATAAAAAAGCTGGGACTGCCCTTCAGACTGATAAACAGAAGGGTTTGGGGCCAGAAATCAACACACTGAAATTGGGGAACTGAATAATGAGGATGAGCCATTAAGTCCATCACACCCTTTGCAAGTCCTTTATATGAATCCAGGAGAATATGTGGAGTAGCCACCTTTATTGTCAGTGTGATTGTATGATACCTGGAGGCTGCTGTTGGTCGGATCTTGAGTGGGGTCCTAACCAGACAGCCACAGGCAACCCAGATGACATTGGCACCTCTACTGGCTTCAAATAAATCCTGCATACCATCTAGAATATGACTTGGCATTCCTACTGTTACCCCTACCTTTCAAGCAGTCTTTTCCTCCTTTGGCTTATTTCTTTGGGGCTTAGCTGGCCATTGATATGAACCCATCACTAGAAAGGTTGCTAAAAACTGTTTTAAATAAGGTTTTGGTTGTAGCCATATTGGTTTAAGGACATAGGCAGGCAAGTTGTTTGGGTAGGTGTGGTATCTTTTATTAGACCAACTGACTAATTGGAAAAAGTTATTTGCAAGCTTTCGGGCGCAATCACCCTTCTTCAGGCATAGGAAATCTCTGCTGTTCTGAGGCTCCAAGGCTGTTCTTTCATTCCTTGGAGTCTCAGAACAGCCGAGGCTCACTAAGCCTGAAGAAGGGTGATTGCACCTGAAAGCTTGCAAATAACTTTTTTCCAACTACACACTTGGTTTAATAAAAGATATCATGTCTACCCAAAAAACCTTGCCTGCCTATGTTTTAAATTGCTTATTGATGTGTATTTGCCAAGATCTTGGAGT